GTAAATAGTATTTGTTGCTTGTGCAACGAGCAGAGCAGAAACACACAGGGAAGGAGATAAACGTGCAGCTCATGTGAGAAAAATACTTTATATACAAGATAATAAGCAGTCTTGGTGTAGGTAAAACAGTCCAAGGTCATAAACAGTAATCAGTCCAGTAATTATCTTCCCTTACCAAAGCAAACAGACTTTAGTAACTCTTGGTATACAGTACCATATAACAATTCAGTCTAACACCAATCAGCAGAAAGACGCAGGAAGCAACAGGAACAATCAGGAACAAAGAATGCTTCTCTGCGCTGCTTATTTATGCACTGTAGCCTAATTACAGGGTTCAGCAAACCCTGATTACGTGGCTCAGTTGTTTCTTAAAGAAACAGATATATTGCCTGACCAACAGGAGTAAGCTACAAGCTGAACCTAACAGCCCCCCAGGAGTCTTCCTGCCTGTCGCCGCCCTACGCAGGGCAACCAATCAGCGTCCACCTTCCTTCAAAGAACCAGAGTGCGCCTGCGCACTGCCCAGGGTTGTTATGGTTCCACATGGAGGTGGGCCATTTAAATTTGGGGGTCCGTTCTGCTTTCCCCCCCTCCCGGCGTCCAAGCAACCGGAGGTTGCGGGCCCCTTCTGCGGCTGCGACTTTCCCCTCCACAATCGGACATCTCCCCATAGGCAAGGTTCGGGGGGCAGCATGTTAGGAAATGGTTTTACCTAACTTGTTGGGTTGGCAATATATAAACCATAGATATAGCTTTAAGACTGCTGTATTGCTGTATTGCATCATACTGTGTACTGATTGGTTAGCTCTGTAGCCAATGTCCTTAAGAGGGAGCCAGAAACCTAGTTGGTTTCTCTTTACACCATTTGCTGAACTCTTTGCTGATCTTTACTGCTTTTTCCTGTGTTTGCTACTGTTTGCAACTGTTAATGTGTATGACTACAACAACTGGTAAGAAGACTTTGATATTGGGCTATCCCTGGACTATTGTTTTACTATCTACTACTTTATATGTGTATGACCTGGACTGTTTATTGGACTGTTTTATTCGTAACTACTCTCAATCGCTTTCATGTGCACCTCCTTGCTACTCAAGGGTTGCTCTGCAAATTCCTGAACAGGGAATCCTTTGGAGGGACTGCCCCAAGAAGTCCTCCAACCAATCGCCGCCGTCCCCAGAGCGACCAATCGGCGTCCTCCATTTTCAGTCACCGAGAGTGCGCCTGCACGGTGCTGACTCCCTTTCTGTTCTTGCCCAGAGGTGAGACTGGGGGGTCTCCCTTTGATCTTTAGGGTCCCATCTTCTCCTCCTCCCTCCCCCACATTCAGGCAGGCCGAGGTTGGGGGCCCCTCCTGGGTCTCTGATTTTCCCCCCATCCAGGCTCACTCCCTGGGCAATGTGTGGGGGGAGGTCTTGGGGGGGCACAATTTAACATCATTTTAATGTTCTTCTTGTTTTGCATGAAAGACCTCAGGTGGTCTTATGCTGGAGGTATTTTTAGTGGTTTGTAGGAAGTTCCCTTGTCAGCTAACAGAATAAGAACAACCGAGCTGGAAGGGATCTTGGAGGTCTTCTAGTCCAACCCCCTTCGCATGCAGGAAGCCTCATCCCAAAGGTGCTTTTTCAAGAGGCAACTGGACTTCATTTGCTTTTTTTTGAAGACGTTTCACTTATTTATTTATTTATTTATTTATTTATTTATTTATTTATTTATTTTTTATATTTCTATACCGCCTTTCTCCCGTAGGACTCAGGGCGGTGTCCATCCAAGATAAAAATATAGATACACAAACATCATAAAATTGCTAAATTAAAATTATTATTATAACATAGTCTGGCCCAATTAAATTAAAAACCCAGAATTAGATAACATTTTAAAAATCATTCACATGTTTAGCCCCGCCTGTTGGAACATCAGGGTCTTGAGGGCACGGCAGAAAGCACGGAGATCGGGGATATTCCGTATCTCCGGGGGCACTTCATTCCAAAGGGCTGGAGCCCTCACAGAGAAGGCCCTCCCCCTGGGTCGGCATAATTTGACTGACGGTACCCTGAGTAATCCCTCCCTGTGAGAACGAACTGGTCGGTGGGAGGCTATTGGTGGCAAAAGACGGTCTCGTAGGTACCCAGGTCCTAAGCCATGGAGCGCTTTAAAGCTGATAACTAACACTTTGAATCGCACCCGGAAGACCACCGGGAGCCAGTGCAGCTCGCGTAGGAGAGCTGTTACATGGGCGTAACGAGCTGCGCCCATAATCACCCACGCGGCTACATTCTGGAACAACACTGTGGGACAACACTGACCTGGATGACGGAGAATCTCTACAGTCTTTTAGCGATGCAATTTGGGCTGAACCGCCTTTGCATGGTGTGGGAGCAGGAATGGATTTCCAGAGGGGAAAATTGCAGACTGCAAGAACCATTCGCACCACTCGGGTGACCCTGAGGACACAGATAAACCTCCAGGGGCTTCAGCCACCCTCTCAAAGTTTGGGGATTGAGTGGAAATGTGAGTTGGAAACAGTTGTGGACAGTTGGACAGCTTTTCTCCCAAAATAGAATAGAATAGAATGGGAATAGAATAGGAATAGAATAGAAAATAGAAAATATAGAAAATAGAAAATAGAAAATATAGAAAATAGAAAATAGAAAACAGAGAATAGAATAGAATAGAATAGAATAGAATAGAATAGAATAGAATAGAATAGAATAGAATAGAATAGAATAGGTTAACTGTACTTTAAAAGCAGTGTCTACCCAATGGATTATGCAAAGAGCTAATGGCGAAGGCCATTTATTTGCATCAGTTATATCCTATTTCACAGCAAATTGAGATTATTTGGGAAAAGGGGGGGGTTTACCTCTTCCTACTTTTGGCTGCAACAGGACGACTTTTTCATTCAATTTGCCCTTCTCTGAATCTGGAATTTGAGATGCAGGTGGACCAGAGCAGAATCAGGTGGAACAATTCTTGAATTCAGGCTGAATTCAACCAGGAACTAAGGAAGTAGGCTGGACATGGACAACTGGCAAAGCCCCAGCAATCCAGTCCTTCTTAACACTGGCACGCTTTGGTACTTGTGAATGTGGGTGTTAGATGCTCAGTGGAGGGAGTCGCGTGGTATGAAATGGAAGCAAGATGTTGCTGAACTAGAACTCCCAACCTTCAAGAGGCAGCTGGACTTTCTGGTTTTTTCTTTGAAGGCGTTTGCTTCTCATCGAAGAAGCTTCTTCAGCTCTGAAAAATATTCAAAGAAAAAGCAGGAAGTCCAGTTGCCTCTTGAAAAAGCACCTTTAAGGTTGGGAGTTCTAGTTCAGCAACATCTTGCTTCCATTTCACACCACAAGTACCTATTAGAATAGGGCTGGAAGGGCCCTTGGAGGTCTTCTAGTCCAACCTATACCATTTGAGACAAGTGACTGTCTCGTCTCTTCTTAGAAACCTCCAGTGATGGAGCACCCACTACTTCTGGTGGCAAGCTGTTCCACTGGTTAAGCGTCCTCACTGTTAGGAAGTTTCTCCTTAATTCCAGATTGCTTCTCTCTTTGTTTAGTTTCCAATCATTGGGGCAACCATGACCAGGATGACCGAGAATCCCCATAGATAATATAACTCCCAACAGTTTTGCCATTTCCCAGGCCGGCCTGTAGAGGGTCTTGGCCAGCCTACCTGGCCAGGTTGTTGTGAGGCTCCAATTCTGGAAAGTTCCAGGGCCCCACCTCCTTGGCAGGAAGGCAGGCTGGGAGCTGCCTTCTAAAGAAAACCCTGTACGAGTTTAAATTTAGGGGTACTGGAGGTAAGATTGATATTTCATTGATTTTTTATTGAATATGTTTAACTAATTACCAAGAGCCTTGGTAGTACAGTGGTCTAAAGCACCCTGTTATTAACACAGCTGCCTGCAATTACTGCAGGTTCGAATCTCACCAGGCTCAAGGTTGACTCAGTCTTCCATCCTTTCTAAGGTAGGTGAATTGAGGACCCAGATTGTGGGGGCAATAAGCTGACTTTGTATAAAATATACAAAAGTATGAAGGCTATTGCTTAACACACTGTAAGCCACCCTGAGTCTCCGGAGAAGGGCGGCATATAAATCAAATTAAAAACAATAATAATAATAATCAGTGAAATTATGATAAACGGATTAGTTTTAAAATAAGAGATCAGAATATAAATAATTGATGAAGTAATTTTATTTATTTTATTTTTATTTTATTCAATTTATATACCGCCCTACTCCCGAAGGACTCAGGGCAGTGAACAGCCAAAAAAATAAAACACATAGATTACAAAATTTAAAAAGAACACTATAAAACCACATTAAATAAATTTGGCCCGGAACAAATTAAAACACCCCCCAATACGTAATAATGAATTATTTAAGTCAATATGAAGAAATGACAAAATGTGGGGATGCTTAAGAATTGAAAATAAGACCCAGAAATAAGAAGTTTAATATATAAAATTGTAGTAGTCGGAACATTTGGGTTAAGATATACATTTAATTGGTTTCTACTAATATGTTGAATTGTATTATTTGGAATAGTTGATAAAAGAATCATTGGTGATTAGAATAAGAGAATTCAAGGAAACAATTGGGGACCGTACTATGTTCTGTGAATTTAAATTCAGGGGTTCAAATTTTAAGGAGGGAAAAGAAAAATTGAATTATAATAGGATGAGATGTTGAGATGAAGGGTAATATCGGTTTCTTAAAATTAGAGGGAATAAATGCTATGAGAAAAATTGAACATATAAAATTGTGTGAAAGAGAAACAAAAATCTGTACAAAATTTAAGACCGGGCCAATATTTTGTTCAGAAAAGATGTATTGTGTGTTTTTTTAAAAAAAAAACTAAAGAAAACCCTGGACTGAGCATCTCTGGGGCTGCAGTGCGCCGACAGGTGGCGCGAAGACTCGTCCTTTGCTGCCCCCTGATGGCAGGTAGCGGAATTGCAGCTGGGCTTTACTTCAAGGCCGGGAAAGGCGGCGGCGTCGCCTCCCACAGTAAAGATGGCGGCCGCGGCCTGCAAAGCGCTGCTCCGGCCTCCTCGCGGGCTCTTCTTGGGGGTCGTGGGAATCGGGGCGCGGGGCCTGGGCAGGGGGGCAGCGGCTCCATCATCCCCGGCCGCGGCTTCCCGGCGACGAGCTTTGACGGTGGGACCTGGGGAGCGGCAGCCACAGGAGGGCCGGCTCGCCAAGGCGGAGGCGGCGGCGCACTACCGGCTGCTGTTCACGTGTAAGGTGAGTTCGCACGGGAAGCGTCGCTCCTGCTGAGGGGGAGGGAACGGTTGAGGGCAGCGAAGCGAGGGCGCCATCTTTGTAGCGGGTGGAACCCAGAGAGGCCGCGGGCGCCATCTTGGCAGCTGGCGGAACAGATAGAGAAGCCCCGCGGGCGCCATCTTGGTAGGTGGCGGAACAAGGAGGCCGCGGGCGCCATCTTGACAGCTGGCAAAACAAGGAGGGAGGGGGAGAGCGCCATCTTGGAAGCTGGCGGAACAGGGAGTGAAGCTGAGAGCGCCATCTTGGCAGCTGGCAGAACAGGGAGTGAAGCTGAGAGCGCCAGTTTTGCAGCTGGTGGAACAAGGAGTGAAGCTGAGAGCGCCATCTTGGCAGCTGGCAGAACAGGGAGTGAAGCCAAGAGCGCCATCTTGGCAGCTGGCAGAACAGCGCGAGGCTGCGGGCATCCTTTGTACTAGAACAACCTGAAGGAGGAACCAGCGGAACCCGACACCCCAGTTCACACGACCTGCTTCCCCACTCCTGGGTTTGCCCATCCAGACCTGGCATAAGTCTAGCCAAACTGAGCAACCCGTGCAAATGTGGGATTGTCTGTGACGCTTATTGCATGGACTCACCCCAAAATCAACCACCGGGGAACCTTCTCCAGCTGGATGACTGTCCGTCTGTATCTGGACAACCTTGGCCGATCTGGGAACCCAAACAGGCTTAATTGGTGCTTGGATGGGAGACCACCAGGAAATGCAAGAGATGCTGTCTAGCACTGGAAAGTTGTTGTTGTTGTTGTTTTGAAGGACCAGGTCAGCCTGTGTTGCTGCTCAGAAAATGCCTTGAAGTTGTTTTGTGAAGATACCGGGTGTTGGGTTTGACTATGGTTTGTCTGCTCAGCTGACTAACATCTGATCTGGGAAAAGGATAATTGAGGTCTGGCCTGTTTAGCAGTAGAAGCATGGCAAGGACTGTGGAATTGGAAAGGCAAATTGGAAAAGCAGCAATGATGGCTGATTGCTTAAGTGTTGCTCCCAAGAGAGCTGCAGACATCTTCCTGCTCAAACAGCATCACCCCAAGATTTGCGTGGCTCACCCAACAAAGGTGCACAAATCTTTGAAGAGCTCCTGGGTTGGGCTTTGTTGGTTGAGCCACAAGGGGATTTCATTTTTAATATAATAAGTGTTTTGCCCAGGTGCACATGTTTTTTCCCATTTTATTTTCCTCTTTTGTAAGCCACCTAGAGTCTTTGGGAGTTGGGCTGCTTTCCACATTTAAAAATAGAAGTCATTCCTAAAGAAATGGGCACGGCCCCCAAATTCCCTGCCCTTGGATATCCCAGAGAACCACTTTGAAACTTCCCTGGTGGAACCTGGTTTCTCTTTCAGGTATGCAGGACACGATCTGCGAAAACTATTTCCAAGGTGGCTTATCATCACGGAGTGGTGATAGTGAAATGCTCGGGGTGTAACAACCATCATGTGATTGCTGATAACTTGGGCTGGTTCTCCGACTTAGATGGAAAAAGGTAAGCAGGCCATCCTTGGCCCTCCCCACTTTTGGTTCTTCAGGGTTTGATGCTTCAGCTGCGAAAGGTGGAATTAGTTCCTGGGAACAATTCAGAACTAAAATGATGGACACACCAGACTTCACAATCCACAAATCTTCATTTGTTGTTTTGGCTTGCAAAATGAGCACCAAGCAGAATTCCTTCTGTGACCAAAATCCCACAGAAACTATTTTACTCTATTATTGTTGGCTTTTACTGGAGTGATGCGGTGGCCCAGAGGTGGAGCTCTCGCCTCACAATCAGGAGGCCGTGAGTTTGATGCTAGGTAGAGGCAGATATTTCTCTCTCTGGGCACAATGAGAATATATCTGCTGAGCAAATCTCTGCATTGGCTGTCAGGTTTCGGTGTCGTCTCAAATAAAATGCATTTCCAACCAAATAATCTTTGATGAAATCTTTCATTTATTAAGCACAACCCCGATTATGTTGTAGCCAACACTAACTTCCTGACCCCAAACCTTCCCTTTCCGTTCCCCAATTCTCTGCGTCTCATTGGCCATCTTCCAAATCACTCTCCCCATATCTACTACTTCAGCTCCCAGGAATGTCCCCCCTCCCATCTCATCTCCTAGGGGATATTATCTTCAGGGAAAATAAGTAGGTGAAAAGCCAAGCGTCCTCTTGCCAGCTGCCCCCTCTTCTCCTCCTTATGTCAGCACTGGAACGAATGTAGTTTGGAGTGCTGACATTGGCGACAGGAAAGGCATCCGGCCATTAAACCACTCTGCTAGCTCCATTCTGTTGCCCAGACTCCACCCCGCAAGGGATTATGGGGTCGTTAAAAGATGATGATGGTTGGCTTTTACTACTCTATCTCAACAAGTGAAGGCTGAAAAAAACAGATAAATAAAACAGGAAATCTATAAGATAGCCTTCATGTAATTAAGGTAAGACAAAGAGGAAAAATGGGTTCTGCTTGCTTTTTCTATGGGAAACATGGCCTCTGCAGCAGGGGTGAAATACTCCCAGATTGGACTGGATCGCCTAATCCGGTAGCAATTTTTCCCCGTGGTTCAGCGATCCGGTAGGGATTGCCACCTGGGTGTCATTAAAAAAAACAAGTGTGCGCTTCCAAACCGGTAAGGTAAGTAGATTTCACCCCTGCTCTGCAGTCATTGTTAGCTGGGGTGTTTTCTTGCTTACAATTTCGCATTAGAGGCAGCTATTATGTATATTATAGATTACATAATGTTTCCCACCTTCTTCGTAACACAATTTTCTTTCTGAATTAGGAACATTGAGGAAATCCTTGCAGCCAAAGGAGAGAAAGTGAGGCGAGTCGCAGGCGAAGACGCTGTTGAACTCTTAATTGAAGACCCCAAATTGCTGGAACTGCTGAGCAAAGGAGGAGGAGAAAAAGATCCAGAGTGATCAGAACAGACGTCTTCAATCAACCCGAGGGAAAAAACTTCCCTTAGCTAGACCTTTATTTGAAGTAACACTTTGGAGTGTTCCTTCAGTTGAGTTTTTTCCCAATCTTGTGGATTACAGGATTGCCGTTTCTCGGGAAATGTTTTTACCAGCTGCACAGGATGAAGTCTAGCCGTTGAATATTCTTTGAAGAATATTGTATATTCTTCTCGTAGGACGTGGCAGAGAAGATGTGAGGGAGGCCTGATATGTGCACGTAGCTGCACTACACAAATGTTTACACACACTTTCAAGCTAGGAAGGAGTTGCCTGTTCCTTCTTGGAGCAAGAATCCTGCATGAGGCTGGAGATCCCATTTTCAGTTGGGTTGATTGTATAGCTCCGTCTCGCTAGGCCTGCATACAACTAAACCAAAGCTATCAATCCAAGCTCCATGCAAGTTAATGTGGTTCTACTGCGCCCTCATCCTGGATTGGCTTAGTGTTTGATTTCTTGTCTTTTTGTTCCAGAAGGTGGGAAAAGAAACAATGGTTTAAATTACATGGATTTTGACAGACTTTGGATTATCATTCTTATGGAAATAGCACTTCACTAGCGGAATAGGCTGTCCTGGGAAGTGGGAGAGGCCTCGTGGGGGTTTTGACATCCATCTATCATTGTTTCAGGAATGTTGGATTTTCAACCGGGCAGCGGTTAGATGAGATCATCTCTAGGACCCCTTCCGATCTAGAATCCCACCGGTTTTAGGACTGAGAATGTCTTCAGATAGCCCCCAACTAGGAAGATCTCCTAAAGCAGGGGTCTCCAACCTTGGCAACTTTAAGCCTGGAGGACTTCAACTCCCAGAATTCCCCAGCCAGCAAAGCTGGCTGGGGAATTGAAGTCCATTAGGCAGAAAGTTGCCAAGGTTGGAGACCCCTGCCCTAAATTGTTGGCTATTCCTGCCAACTTGGTGTCATCCGCAAAGTTGATGAGTTCCCCTTCTCATCTTAAATTGCTTATGAAGATGCTGAAGAATGGTGGGCCTAAGACAGAATCTTGAGGTACCCCACTGCATGCTTTTCTGATTCTGAAGCTTACTGGGAACGTTCCTCAGGAACTGACAACACAGAGACCGAAGGTACCTGACCTTGTCTTGTTACCTGGAGGGAAAAGTGGAGAATTTTTCAGGGGACTCCTCAGTTTTGATGCAGCTGAGCTCCCAACTTCTTTTGATTTGTAAACAACATGGGCAGGTAAAGGTAAAGGTTCCCTTCGTGCATATGTGCTGGTTGTTCCCGACTCTAGGGGGTAGTGCTCATCTCCATTTCAAAGCTGAAGAGCCAGTGCTGTCCAAAGATGTCTCCGTGGTCATGTGGCATGACTGAACACCTAAGGCGCACAGAACGCTGTTACCTTCCCGTCAAAGGTGGTCCCTATTTTTCTACTTGCATTTTGTACGTGCTTTCAAACTGCTAGGTTGGCAGAAGCTGGGACAAGTCACGGGAGCTCACCCCGTTACGCGGCACTAGGGATTCGAACCGCTGAACTGCCGACCTTTCAATCAACAAGCTCAGCGTCTTAGCCGCTGAGCCATCGCATCCCTCAACATGGGCAGAGGGAGGGTTAAGTAACTGGGTTATTTTGCTGAGGACACCTAGATTTATATCCTTTCTGGTTTTTCTCCTGAGTGGATTCTTTGATGTCTATAAAGATGTCCCCTTTGACTGAACATCTTTCCACATTCCAGACATTTATGCTGTTTTTCTCCTGTGTGGATTATTTGATGTCGACGGATATTTTCCACCCACAGTAAAGCTCTTTCCACACTCCAGTCATTTATATGGTTTTTTTTCTCCTGTGTGAATTATGAAATGTCTATAAAAGTTTCCCGAATGACCGAAACACTTTCCACACTCCAAACATTTGGAGTGATTTCCCTCGAGCGGCACTTCCTCCTTCCTCCACCGGGCACGTCCGTCCTGAAGGGATGAAGAGGGAGGAGGAGAGGCAGTGAGGAGTTTGTCCACTTCCCCTGAGGGGAGTCCCAGTCCTGCCCTCCCGGGGAGGAAGGTTGAAGCCTCTGCCTCTCACAGCCCTTTCAGTGGTCTCTGAATTCTTTGATGTCATTGGAGGGTCACAAGACGCACCCGGCCAACCCCCAGCTACCCCCACCCATCCTTTCCTTGAGCACCTTGCTCCATCCCGCCCAGTGGTAGGTTGCTACCAGTTTGGTTGAACACATAGCGGCGGCAGCAGAAGCAGCATTGCGCACGAGTGCCCACAAACCAACCAGTAACAACGGGTTTTGAAACCTGCCACTGATCCCACTCCGCCCAAATTCCCTTCTGAGGGAAAGACCAGCAGCATCCCAGCCTCAAAGTTCTTTCCCTCAACGTTTCCCACTTTTTTTGTTGTTTGTTTGGCCAAGCTCCACCTGGTCCTGTTCAGGGATCAGCCTGTGGAGCACATTTGCATGAGGGCGCCTTCGACGCCATCCCATTGGTTGGCCTGCTGCGTGATACCGGCTCTCACTGGCTACTGCAGCACTGCTCTTTAGCGTCCAGGCTTTGTTCCTGCCTGGCTCCTCCCCCTACTTTGGCCCCGCCCCTCCACTGAAAGTGAAGCATCACGAGCAGCAGGGCTGTTTCATGCCTGCCCCTCCTCCGGTCCCCCTCCCAGCCCTGCTGCTCCTTTGGTCTCCCCCACCTCTCATCTAGTTCCGCCCCATCCTTCCTCTGGTTCCCCCAAGCTCTGCCCCTCCTCTGGTCCTCCCTCCCCTCCTGCCCCTCCTCTGGTCTCCCACAGCTGGCCCTGGGGGAGGGATGGGAAATGAAGGGTTTTGTCTTGTTACATGAGAAGCCTAGATTCCCCCTCCAGCGACAATGGATGACAAGGCAGCCACACCATGCCCAGCTCCACAGCAGCAGCAACCACCGTCACCCCAGTACCACAGGTGGAAACGCAACTCCCACCCTCCGCAGGGTAGCACCGGTGAGGAGGAGGGCTCAGTAGACACCACTGGTGGGCATGAAATTTAACATGGGACACCCCAGCAACTGGGGTTCTTCTTGCCACTGGTTTGGAGCTACATGTAGGAATATGGTCTGGAAAGAACCATGGAAGGTGCCAAAGTGAGATGTGTCACCGTAGCCCTAGAAGGGGCCACTTCACAGTGGAGAGTCACTCTCCACAAGGAAGATACCCTGGAGCTGAGAAACTCCAACCTCTTCATGGTGTCCTTCACAAACGGTTCAAGGAGCCGCCGGCCAACCATAAAGCTGGAGGTCGCATCAAGACCATCAGCCAGGGATGGAGAGGAATGGCTGAGTACATCCGGGAGTTTCGGGACCTGGCTTGCAGGTTCACTGCCTGGCAACAAGACATCCTGGTTGGCTGCTCTCAAGATGGGCTTTTCAAGAACTTTTGTAAACTATTGTAAACTGACCCTTCGGAACAGGGAAAATACGTTTTTAGACATTTTTATTATTTAACAAACAAACAAAAATCATGGGCATGAGAGACTGACATTATAGTGACTTGCAAAACATGTCATATGTTTGAGCTTATGCCCACAGGACACTCAGACTGTATATTTATCAAATGTAAATTTAATGAATTACTAGAAGAAAAAGTAAAGGGTCTGGATGCAACTCTATCTTGAAACTCAATGAACAAAGTGAGAATCCCCAACCTGAACAAGACTACACCAAAATTAAATAGAGAGCAAATAGTTTTTTTTTTATGACCCAATACATGAACAAAAAGAAAAAAAACGATACATCCAAATTGAACACAATGGGGAATAAAAAGTTTCTGGGGGGAAAATGACCCTATGTATGAACGTAAAGAGGAAGACCAATGGAAACATGTCACTTTTAGAAGAAAATATGCAGACACCTATAAAAGAGCGCGCGTTCATAAGTTTTTTAAAAAGAGGCACAACCCAGCATTGTGTTGTGGCCTGCCGCTGGCAGCAGACTCAAACAATGAGAAGGCTGGGGAGAAACTTGGGCCAGTCCTGGAGCCTGGGGAAGGCTCTGATGGATGCTCTGCATCGAAAGCGGAGATAGAGCCAGGGCCGTCCGATATTTCCCAGCTGCCTTCGGAGTCAGTGGAGAAGAACAGTTGGGGACTGTTCCATATGCACACATGCACAGAGCTGTTAGGAGAGAACAACTGAGGACAAGGAGTCGACTCGAGAAGAAAGGCACACGTGGACGCTGAATAGCCCCTCCCTGGCTCGGGAATAAATAGAAGGAAAAGGGGAGGAGTGGTCGTAGGAGACAACTGTTCGGATTTCTTTCGGAAGATTTGCGTATCGTGGTTCTTGCCTCAGAGACTGCTTGCCAGAACTTAAATTTACAGCTTTGCAGCTGGAAACTCCTGGCCTGGCAAGTATCCCAAGGAACTGATAAGGTCTAGTTAACCCTTTGAAGGAATATTGCCTGGACTTTTCGGTATGTGAATGCCATTAATTCACAGGAGCTAAATAAAGAGGTGGTTTTCGGGACAAGGAGTCTGTTTCTTGGTTCTGCTAAGGCTGGGTCAGAACACATTGGGGGAAAAAAGGCAAATGTTGGTGATAGGAGATTCAATTCTTTGGGGAACAGAATCTATACTCTGCACACCGAACAGCCAATCTAGGAAGGTATGTTGTCCCTCTGGAGCAAAAATCAAAGATGTAACTGAGAAACATACTAAAATAATCAACCCCATGGATTAATACCCCTTTCTTCCCCTAGAGCCGTGATGGCAAACCTATGGTACGCGTGCCGCAGGTGGCACGTGGAGCCATATCTATGGGCATGCAAGCATTGCCCTAGATCAGCTCAGCCCGCATGTGTGCACTGGCCAGCTGACTTTTGGGCCTTTCGGGCCCACTGGAAGTCGGGAAACAGGCTGTTTCTGGCCTCCAGAGGGCTTCTGGGGAGTGGGGAAGGCTTTTTTCGCCCTCCCCAGGCTCCTAGAAAGACTCTGGAGCCTGGGGAGGGCAAAAAAATGGGCCTACCGGGCCATCACCTGCCAAAAGTGGGATTGCATGGGGGGGGGTCGCATGTGCATGCACGGGGGGATGGGGCGCATTGAATTATGGGTGTGGGCACATGTGCGCTCGACCCCCCCCATGCTCCCCCCTGCTTTTGGCACGTGATGACAAAAAGGTTAGTCATCACTGTCCTAGAGATTTTAGAAACGAACCAGTGGCGTAAAAACTGCTGTTGTCAAGAGAAATTCGGCTTCCCAGTCCATGGTTTGCATTATTTCGATGAAGGGCTAGAGATGGAATGAATCGCACAAGAACTGGAAAGAATATATTTGGAAATTGAGGCGGGAGGGAGGTCCAATCTTCAAGAGCTCTAGCACCCGATTCCAACAAAAACCATTAGATAACCAATCATACAAGTTGGTAGGGAGTAAAGAGAAAGAAGAAGAAAAAGGGGAAAACACAGTGAAGTAGAGACTGATGGAAAGGATGGAAAACCCAGATACAAAGTAGGAGATATAAGAAACATACCCAAGACTCATAAAGGACTCAAATCCCTATATATGAATGCTCAAAGTTTAGAGAAAAAACAGAGTGAAGTTGAAATACTAATACACGAAGGTACATATGAATAGTTGCTATTACAGAAACATGGTGGGATGAAACTCATGATTGGGTTGGATGGATTGATTTGTAACTGGCTGACAAACAGCACTCAATGGCTGGTCCTTAGTGGTAATACATCTACATCAGTGGTGGGTTCCTCCCGGTTCGGCCCGGTTCGGCCGAGCCGGTAGCGGTGACGATATGACATCACCAAACCGGTTCTCCCCTCCCGCCCTCCCACCCCCCCCACGTTATTCTTACCTTTTATTTGGTCCCACCCCCAATCTATTGCTGCCTCCTGAGTCCCAGCTGATGACTAGAGGGAAAAAAACTGTTTAAACTCTTGCCGCGGGGCTTCAAAGGGCTGTCCTGCAGCTGATCAGTGTTAAAAGCAAACAAATGAGTCGGGTCGTAAGTGCGAGGACTGGTCGTAAGTGTGAGTCACATGACCTCCAAGCCACGCCCACAAAATAAGCCACGCCCACAGAACCAGTAGTAAAAAAATTTAGAACCCACCCCTGATCTACATGGAGGGAAGGAAGCCGTAGGGTACCAAGGTTCCATCTTAGCCCAGTACCCTTCAATATCTTCATAAACGACTTAAATGAGGGAATAGAAGGGGGGACTCATCAAATTTGCAGATAATACTAAGCGGGCATGAAATTTGATGTGGAGAAAAGTTTTACACCTAGGCAGGAAAAACCAAAGGTACAAGTACAGATTAGACGAAACCTAGTTCAAAAACAGCAATTGTGAGAGTCCTAGTCCTGGAGTAATAATGGACAGTCACTTAAATATGAGTTAGCAGTGTGCAGCCGCTGCCAAAAAAAAGCTAATAGAATCTTTGGTTGTATAAACAGAGGCATAGAATGAACATCACGTGAAATATTAGCACCGCTTTATAAAACCTTAGTAAGGCCACACCTGAATACTACATTCAATTTTGGTCACCACTTTACAGAAGAAGATGTTGAGACTTTGGAAAAAGTGCAAACAAGAGTAATTAGGATGATTAAGGGCCTGGAGACTAAAGCATATGAAGAACGGTTGCTGGAACTAGATATGGCTAGCCTAGAGATAAGGAGGACCCCAAAATTCTTTCCAGCTCTGATTTTCTATTCTGATTTTGATGCTATTCTGATGATAGTGAAAAGAAACATTAGGGTTTATTTTTGTGGAAACACAATGACAGTGTCTGCTAGCAGCCGCAGCCCATGTGAATTGATTACCTCTGTAAGCAGCAGGCAGAAGCAGAGGTGGGGACTAAGGCAGGTGATCCGGAGGCACCTGAAAATCGGTGGAGGCTCATCTTCCTGCGGCAACACCGGCAGAGGTGCAGAGGGAAAGCAGGAGATCCTGATGCACCGTGCAAGCTGAGATATGTGAAGATGAGCCTTCCGAGGCCTGCCGCCAGCTCTGGCCTGACTAATGGCTTTCTCACGGTCTATGCAGTGCATCTGGACTGCGCCTCTGGCTCTGCCTGCTGTCAGCATCGCTCTGTGAAGATAAGCCTCCTGCAGCCGCCCACCGCTCTTGGCCCGAACTCTCTGCTTTCCCACAGCCTGCACAGTGAGTACAGATCGTCTGCCTCCCCGCCTCTTCTTCGGCCACACCTGTGCTGATTGGACTGTGGCTGCTATCAGACACCGTTGGCCCACATGCGCTTACCGCTCCTGTGATGGCCATGCCCACCCGCCTTAAGTAAGGCTTATTTTTTGGGTACGCTCACGCTTACAAATCCGGCTAAGGCTTATTTTCTGGAAAACGTCGTATATGATTTTTCTATTGTGTGGATTCTTTGACATCTACAAAGACTTCTTATTCAGAGAAACTCTTTCTACATTTATATGGTTTCTCTCCTGAATGAATCCTTTGATGTCTATAAAGGCTGCTGCTCTGGTTGAAGCTCTTTCCACACTCCAGGCACTTATGAGGTTTTTCTCCTGTGTGGATCCTTTGATGTGTATAAAGGTTGCTCCTCTGACTGAAGCTTGTTCCACATTCAAGGCATTTATAAGGTTTTTCTCCCATGTGGATTCTTTGATGTCTATAAAGGTGTCCCCTCTGACTGAAGCTCTTTCCACACTCCAGGCACTTATGAGGTTTTTCTCCCACATGGATTCTTAGATGACTTTGAAGATGGTCATTTCTTTTGAAGGATTTTTCACATTCTGGGCATTCGTATTTCTTTTCTCCTGAGTGGGTTCTTAGATGTCTTTGAAGACGGTCACTTCTTTTGAAAGATTTTTCACACTCTGTGCATTTAAATGGTTGCTCTCCTGAGTGGATTCTTAGATGATTTTGAAGGATTTGAATTGTTTTAAAGGATTTTTCACTTTTCGGGCATCGATATTTCTCTTCTCCCTCCTGGATCCTTCGGGGTCTCCCAGGTCTTCCAAAGGACCCTCCGCCCTCCTGGCATTTCTTCAGTTTCTCTCCCCAATCAGTCCTTTGATGCTTATAAAGGTTGCTCCTCCAACTGAAGCTCTTTCTACACTCAAAGCATTTATGAGGTTTTTCTCCTGTGTGGGTCCTTTGATGTTGTGTAAGATCTCCTCTCTGACTGAAATTCTTTCCACACTCAAAGCATTTATGTGGGTTTCCAACTGAGTGTTTTTTAAGGTGGTTTTCAAAACATCCATTTGTTTTGAAGGATTTTTCGCATTCCGGGCACTGATGTTCCTTTCCTCCCTCCTGGATCCTTTGGGGATCTCCAGGTCTTCCGAAGGATCCTCCGCCCTCCAGGTATTTCTTCGGTGTCTCTATCAAATGGATCCTTTGATGTCTATAAAGGTTGCTGCTATGACTGAAGCTCTTTCCACACTCCAGGCATTTATGAGATTTTTCTCCTGAGTGGATCCTTTGATGTCTATAAAGGCTGCTCCTCTGACTGAAGCTCTTTCCACACTCCAGGCACTTATGAGGTTTTTCTCCTGAGTGGATTCTTAGATGACTTTGAAGGTGGCCATTTCTTTTGAAGGTTTTTCCACATTCCGGGCACTGATGTTTCTTTCCTCCTTCCTGGATCCTTCGGGGCTTTGGGGGTCTTCCAAAGGATCCTCTGCCCTCCAGGCCCGTCTCGGGGTCTCCGCCCGTTTCCTCCTCCCCGCATCGCTCTCCAAGCAGCCGCCTTTCCCGGGCTCCCCCTGGGCTCCTCCCTCCTGCAGCCCCGGAGCCCCCCGGCCTTTCCTCGCCGTCTCTCGGGGAAGCTGTGCCAGGACCGGGCAGGGCTGCTCCGCGGGGCCCGCTCTCCTCCTCCTCCTCCTCTCGGCCGGCGCCTCTTTCCTGCATCCGCTGCCATCCTCCGTCCTCCTGCAGGGGAGAAAGAGAAGAGGGTCACGGCTGCGTCCCCTTCCCCGCAGGGGAGGCCCAGGCCCAAGCCCCCGCCTCCCACGGGCCTCCCGGGCATTCTCCCAGCGGACACGGCCTCCTTCCCAGCCTCCCGTCTCCCGCCCTGCCCGCCGCCCAGACTAGGCCTCGGGCTCCCGGACCTGCCCTCTCCAGAGAGACCCTCCCGGACTTCAACTCCCAGCATTTCCTGCGCCAAACCTGCACTCGGCCGCGTGCGCAAGCTCTCCGATTCCGAAAGTAAGGGCCAAACCGGCCTTCTTTCCTTTTCAGCCAAGTTCAGCCTCTTCCTCCTGCATCCGGGTTCTTCTATCGCCAATTTAAGAGGCTCCCTCGATGCCAGTTTTGTTTCCTCGGCAGGGACCGCCCCAAGATGTCCTCCAGCCAATCGCCGCCGTCCCCAGAGCGACCAATCGGAGTCCGCCATTCCTTCAATGAGCCAGAGGGCGCCTGCGTGGTGTCAAGTGCTTTTCTGGACCCCCCCCCGCCGCGCAGGTTGGATTGGGGGGGGTCCCTTTGATCTTTGGGGTCCGGTCTTCCCCCCCCTCCGCCCCTCCCCGCATCCAGGCAGGTGGAGGTTGAGGGGCATTTGTGGAGCTGCGGCTTTCCCCCTCCCCTCCCCATCCAGGGTCCCTCCCTAGACAAGGCGGGGGGGTGGAAATATGGGGGGGGCACCCAGGCAGGCGGGGCTGAGGGGTCTCCCCTTCCTCCTGGGGGGCTCCAGCCAGGCTCCTCCGGGGCCTCCAGGCAGAGAGACCGAGGGGGCTCCTCCCTGTAGCTCCTGACCCCCCCTTTCCCGCTTCCTCCCCCCCCCAAAGACCCCCTTGCAAATCTGCAGGGGGGAAATCCCCTCCAGGACCCCCCCCTCCATTAATATGTGGACCCCTTCAGCCTCTGCTGAGCCCCTGAGGTCGAAGCCTCCAGGAAGGCAACCTTTCCCCCCCATTGCAGCCCCCCCCCCAAGCTCTGCCCCCTCCCCTTAAATGCGCCGTAGCTGGAGGACCCCCACCGCCTTGGGTTGGTGGGGGGGCTTTTCCTATTTAAATCCTGGGCCCCAAAGGCTGGAGGGGGTCCTGGCCCTGCTCCTCTCTTGCACTGCAGCTTCTCCTGGGCTGGGAGGGGATCCTGATTGAGCAACTCCATAAGTTTTTAAACTTTTATGCCCCCCCCTCCCTCTGGCCAAGAGCAACTTTTTAAGATATGACATCATTTTAATGTTCTTGTTTTACCTGGGGAAAGGTGATGCTGGAGCCCAGTGAGGTCCTCAAGGGGTTTTTAGGTGCATGTAGGAAGTTCCCTTGTCAGCTAACAGAATAAGAACAACCGAGCGGGAAGGGGCCTTGGAGGTCTTTTAGTCCAACCCCCTGCTCATGCAGGCCTCATCCCAAAGGTGCTTTTTCAAGAGGGAACTGGTCTTCATTTGCTTCTTTGAAGATGTTTCGCTTCTCATCCAAGAAGCTTCTTCAGTTCTATGGTACCGAAGAAGCTTCTTGGATGAGAAGCGAAAAGCCTTCAAAGTGCCACTCAGGCACTCAGAGCCTGAGTAGCGTAGGAAGCTAATGCCTCCTACTAAGGCAGCATTTAACATCCAGCTGCCTGCAATTACTGCGAGTTCAATTCTCACCAGGCTCAAGGTCAACTCAGCCTTCCATCCTTTCTAAGGTGGGTAAAATGAGGACCCGGTTTGTGGGGGCAATAAGCTGACTTTGTATAAAATATACAAAAGTATGAAGGCTGTTGCTTAACGCCTTGTAAGCCGCCCTGAGTCTCCGGGGAAGGGCGGCATATAAAAATAAATAATAAAATAAAAAATAAAAGGAAAACCAGCAAGTCCAGTTGCCTCTTGAACAAAGCACCTTTGGCTGCCCTTTAGTTCCAAGACATGAGATTTTTGACATGACTGTATGGCAAGCCCCCCACCCTGGGGTTCCCCCCCCCATTCATTCTATAACCCATTGGGTCCATCAGTCACCGGAGGATAATTCGAATGGCTCCGGTTGCCCTGCAGAGAGGGGAGAGTGGCATAAGAGAATCTCACGGGCACCAAGTCATGATCTGACCTTGATGGGGGATAACAATGGATTCCCTGCCAGATCACGTTGCCATTGATCTGGTAAGATCAAACCAGCGTGTGACGACCACTGTTCTGAGTCAGCCTGGGATGGGCCCATGACTGCCATGATCTCTTAGATTGCTTCTGAAGCCAGGGGTGGCAAACGGAAGTCCCCCAGGACCATGAGCCTGGAGAGCAGGGCAGATGGTACAGTAGTATCCACACTATCCCAGCTTAAGAAAGAAGGGTCTCCCAACCAGAAACCTGGGGAGCGAAGCCCCTGACCGCCAAAAGAGATTCTTGGATGACCACTGCCACTTGCTTCCCATGCCCAGGGGCTCAGCTGGTGCAAAATCCTAAACCTGGATGGACGCATTTCGTGACGGGCCTCAGAGATGCATGGGTGGTCAACTGACTTCTCATCAATAAAGTCTTGGATAATTTGGGATCTTATTGGCTGACCTGGCATTCACCAGGAGCAACAGCCAAGCCTTAGGGCAGTGTTTCTCAACCTGGACAACTTGGAAGATGAGTGGACTTCAACTCTCAGAATTTGGGAGTTGAAGTCCACTCACCTTCAAGTGGCCAAGGTTGAGAAACACTGCCCTAGGGCCTCAGTGGAATTGCTCTCCAAGGCTTGGGAGTGAATCCAAGGGCCCAGAGCACACCACCAGTATTCCAAGACTCTCAACCTGTCACTTTATTTATTTTATTTATTTTATCTGTTTTAATTTGTATACTGCCCTTCTCCAAAGACTCAGGGCGCTGAACAGCCAGAATAAAACAGAACATACAAAATTTAAAAACAGTTTAAAAATAATTAAATATTTTGGGCCGCAAATTAAAACACCCCAATTAAAATCAATTAAATTTAACCAAAACTGTGGGATCAAGTTTTCAGGGCCCCACAAAAAGTCTGGAGGTCTGGTATTGTACGTATGTCTGAGGGGAGGTCGTTCCAGAGGGCGGGCGCCGCCACAGAGAAGGCTCTACCCCTGGGGGTCGCCAGCCGACACTGTCTGGCGGACGGCACCCTGAGAAGGCCCTCTCTGTGCGAGCATACTGGCCGGTGGGAGGCAATTGGTGGCAGAAGGCGGTCCCGTAAATACCCCGGCCCTAAGCCATGGAGCACTTTAAAGGTGGTCACCAGCATCTTGAAGCGCACCCGGAAGACCACTGGGAGTCAGTACAGCTCGCGCAGGAGAGGTGTCACATGGGAGCGCCCCATCGCTCCCATAATCCCCCGCGCGGCCGCATTCTGGACCAGCTGGAGCCTCGGGGTGCACCCCAGGGGGAGCCCCATGTAGAGAGCATTGCAGTAGTAGAAGGCAATTGAAGAATAACATTCCCTCTGGCACTGCAAGCTTTTTTTGTGCCTAGGCATATGATATAGCTTATGCAAGTGACTTTAGGGAAACAAAGCTATACTTGGCCAAAAAGGCGCTGGTGGGGACAATGCTGTTCGCCCTGCACCAGCCACCCCATGCCTTCCAGCCCCCCTGGTCCAAGGCCTCTGTACCAGCCAAAGAACACCCAGCGAGGTCAGAGGCCCACTTCGAAGGACCCAACTGCCATCTTTACCGTGGGGGCTGCCAAAGCCTTCTGGATTATTGAATGGAATGAGATCAGGGCAACAACTGCACCACAGACAGGAAGAAGGGCAGCAAAGGTTTTCCCACCATCCGCTGTCCCTCAGCAGCCCAGACACGCTCAGCAGCAGCTCTTCCTTGGAGTGCCACTCCTAGCATCCCTGCCAAAGTGAGGCACCAAATTAGAGCCTCACAATAACCTGCCCATGTAGTCTGGCCAAGATGCGCTAGAACTTGAGATATCTTGGCCAGCCCAGATAATTTTGATTCGATTCACACAACACTACTCTCTCCATGGGATCCAAGACCTACATTCAAATCTCCTAAGCGTGGCAGTGTTGAGAAGAGCTGGCCTATCAGTTGCCCCCTCTCTGGGGCAATCCTGGTTCCAGCTGAAACCCTTCCTGAAGGAGAATAAGGAGCCAGAAACTGCCCTCATAAAAATATAGGTTGTGGCCACACACAGAACCACCTTGTTCTGGTCCAGTCAAACACCATGAGAAATACTGGGCCCAGTTTGAGCCCCTCAAATACTATTTCACAAGTTTCAGAGGACGAGGTGAATGATCCAATCCACCTGTCGTAGCAAAAAGGGTACCTTTTTATATACGTAAATTCAAATAATCTCAATTTACCACCGAACTACTGTAGTTAAAACTGACCGAACTAAATGGCATCTACAAGGTGTTCTTGCACAATGTGTTGGGTGTAGAGTTTGATTTATGACTAACCTTCTAAATAAAACAAAATGGCACAGACAAAATTAATGCATGTAGCCTGTGTTGATTTTAAATCTATAGTTGATTCCATTTTGAGAGAAAACATTATGAGGAAGTTGGAAAATGCAGTACAAATAGTTTTTCTCATTGAGCAATTGTATGAAATGTGCTAACCCTCCTCTTCAGAAAAGTCTGCAGGGCTGTATTTGGACCTCCACCTCCTTTAAGGAGCACCTCCACTCCTCGACAGGCCAACTGACCATCTCCTACTTACACCTGCCTCAATCCCTGGGCCCAGATGTACTTCTCCTCCAATACGCTGAGAATATGGCTAGTATCTCACAAAGCTTTCTTGGCCTTAGAGAGTCTCTTGTAGCAGTTTCTGCTGGTAATCAAGAGGACCATTCAGAGAATCCAATTGACTAGTTTCAGATGGCTGGGGATGGTCTTTCTTACATGGCACCAACATTTGGAAAACCCAGATAGATTATATCAAACAATGACAGGGAGGAGCATTTTCACACCTGGAATAAGGAAGGCCAAATTAGCCTTAGTGTCAGGTCCTGCCGTCTGGAGGGGCATTGGGGAGATGGACAAATGGGAAACAAGGTGGGTGGGAAATGACAGGCGATGAAGACCAGAGAAACCCAGAATTGGTTTGCATCAGAGGTTTCATTCCGATGAAGTCGAGGGTCTTTCTTAAGGGACCAGGTTGGGGCAGGTCTGACACCTGGATTCTACCACAGCACACTTGTTTGAATTAGGCACAGAGTTGGCAGATCATTTAAAGGCACCTTTAGAGTAATCTAGCAAAGAGGTTTCCCTTAATGAAAAAAGGAGCCCAGGACAGACTCAGGTTTCATTTTACACTCCATACAGTAGGAAAAGTATAAAACTGTTGACTGTATGGAAGAAATCCTGCTCAGTTACATCAGAGACAGGGACAGTAAGTTAAACATCCTATCATATTAAGCATAACCATTGAAAAGGGCATTGCATTAAAAGGAGAACATTTGCATGGGGAAAGGAATCACATAAAACTATTGTGAAAAGGTACAATTTCAGCCAGTTGAAATGCCTAGCATGTACCATTCAAAACGTTCTTTATTTTGAAGTTAGAAAGTTGAGTGGGGAGGGTCTCCAATCTTCAAGACCTCTAGAACCCGATTCCAAGCAAAAACCGCTAGATAACCATTCATACAAGGAGGCAGGGAGTAAAGAGAAAGAAGGAAAAAAAGGAAAAAAACAGTGAAGTAAAGAGTGATGGAAAGGATGGAAAACCGAGATACAAAGTAGGAGATATAAGAAACATAACCAAGATCCATAAAGGACTCAAATCCCTATATATGAACGCTCAAAGTTTAGGGAAGAAACAGGGTGAAGTTGAAATACTAATACACGAAGGTACATATGATATAGTTGCTATTACTAAAATGTGGTGGAATGAAACTCATGACTGGGTTGGATGGATTGATTTGTAATTGGCTGACACATTGGGTGATCCTTAATGGGAATACATCTACATGGAGGGAAGGAAGCAGTGGGGAACCAGAAGGTTCCGTCTTAGGCCCAGTACCCTTCAATATTTTCATAAATGACTTAGATGAGGGAATAGGAGGAGGACTCATCAAATTTGCAGATAATACTAAAAGGGCAGGAATAGCCAACACCCTAAATTACAGGCTCAAGATCCAGATAGATCTTGACAAACTTGAGCAATGGGCCTTATCCAACAACATGAAATTTAATGTGGAAAAAAGCAAGGTTTTTACACCTGGGCAGGAAAAGTATAGATTAGGCGAAACCTGGTTCAAAAACAGTAATTGAGAGAGGGACCCTGGACTCCCAGTGGACAATTGCTTAAATATGAGTTAACAAAAAGCAGCAGCACCCAAAACAGCTAACTGAATCCTTGGTTGTATAAACAGAAGCACAGAATCAACATCGCGTGAAATTTAGCACCACTTTATAAAACCTTAGTAAGGCCACACCTGAATATTACGTTCAGTTTTGGTCACCACAGTACAAAAAGTTGTTGAGACTTTGGAAAAAGTGCAAAGAAGAGCAACTAGGATGATTAAGGGGCTGGAGACTAAAACGTGAAGAACGATTGCGGGAACTGGATACAGCTAGTCTAGAGATAAGGACTAGGAGTGACATGATAGCACTGTTCCAATATCTAACAATTAACCAGTGGAACAGCTTTCCTTCAGAAGTTCTGGGTGCAGAGATGAAGGAACTGGAGGGGAGCAGGAAGGAGAGAGAGGGACAGAAGAGTAGGGAGGAAGCAAGGGAAAGGAAGGCAGAGTAGGAGAGAAGGTAAGACGGGGGAAGAGAGGAGGAGAAGGGAAGGGGAAGTAGAGAAGAGAAGAAGAAGGTGGGGAAAGAAAGTTGGAAGGAGAAGAGGGAGAGGCTAGGTTTGAGGAGAGAGATTGCTGTACAATAAAGAAGTGGAAGAAAGGCAGCTCTGAACAAACAAATATAAGTATATTAGGAAAAAGAATAAATTGTTAAAGAATAAAAGAGGACAAATATGTACAACTAGCAAAGTTAGAATTTAGGGATACATGAAGGAGGTGTTTATATATGCAAGTATAGAATTACTGAGGTATATTCAAAAAAAGGAAAGTGGGGGAAGACAATATTGATAAAAATTGTAATTGAGTAAAATGTATTTGAATTTGACTAATTGTATAAGATAAGAAACGACCAACACTGTAAAAAAAAAAAAAAGATGTGGGTGAATGTGGGAGAGGAGAAAAGAAAAAAAACCAATAAAAGGCGAAAGATTTATACGATCTGAAGAGAAACCAGGATAGCAAAAATTTACCCAAATACGAGCCCAAATTGTTGGAAATGTGCCACCATCACGGTACCTTCTATCATATGTGGTGGACATGCCCCAAAGCAACGAAATTTTGGAAAACGATTCGAAGATGGATACAAGAAATAATAGAGGAAAATCTCGATTTGGCACCTGAAACCTTCCTCCTGGGAATATTAAAAAGGGCATATGAGAAAAAAAAGAGGTACCTAATTATGCATATTACTACAGCTGCCAAAATAATATATGCACAGTATTGGAAAGAGAAAGGACTGCCACCGGAAGAGCATGTAATTAGGAAAATATTAGAATGCGCAGAAATGTGTAAACTAACATATGTGATAAACGGAAAAGAGAACTCGGAATATTACACGGTGTGGGAAATGTGATATAAGTGGATAGAAGATAAAAGTAAAAGGAAGAATAAGGGAGGGTGCGACTATTAAAACAATTAAGTAAAGCAGAGAACACCGTGTATATAATCTGTATATATTTATGAACACAGCTAAACCGAATGTTGTTGAATTGTATTATCATGTAACTTAATAAAAAAAAAAAACCAATAATTTTTTGTTTTAAAAAAAAGAAGTTGTGGGTGCTTCCTTACTAAATGTTTTTGACAATAGCCACTTGTTTCAAATTGTATAGCGTCTCCTGCTTGAGCAGGGGGTTGGACTAGAAGGCCTCCAAGGTCCCTTCCACCAGTTATTTTGCTATTAATATTCTGTTGCTTTGCATGTACACTGAGAACTTCTGTACGGGAAGAAAATTCGTATATTTAGCATCCCCCCCCCATGTGAATCCTTTCATGTCAATGAAGGTGTCCACCATTAGTAAAGCTCTTTCCACAATCAAGGCATTCATATGGTTTTCCTCGTGTGGATTCCTTCATGAGAATAAAGGTTCTGCTTTGAACTGAAGCTTTCTCCATACTCCAGGCATTTCTGTGATTTTTCTTCCTTATGAATCATTTGATGTCCATACAGAGTCCCTTTCCTATTGAAAGACTTTCCACATTCCAGGCATTTATAGGGTTTCTCTCCTGAGTGGATTCTTCGATGTATGTAAAGGTTTCCTCTCTGATTGAAGCTCTTTCCACACTCCAGGCATTGATACGGTTTTTGTCCAGTGTGGATCCTTTGATGAATGTAAAGGTTTCCTGCCCGATTGAAGCTCTTTCCACAGTCTGGACATTTATGTGGCTTTTCTCCTGTGTGAATCCTTTGATGTACATAAAGGGTGCTCCTATGACTGAAGGTCTTTCCACATTGCAGGCATTTATATGGTTTTTCTCCAGTGTGGATCCATTGATGTTTGCTGAGCTTTCCACCGTCGGTAAAGCTCATTCCACACTCCAGGCATTCATATGGTTTTTCTCCTGTGTGGATTCTTTGATGTGCATAAAGACGTCCCTTCCGAGTGAAGCTCTTTCCACAATCTAGGCACTTATGCAGTTTCTCTCCTGAGTGGATTATTTGATGTCTAATAAGGGTGCTCTTGTGAGTGAAGCACTTTCCACACTCCAGACATTGAAATGGTTTCTCTGCTGTGTGGATTCTTAGATGGCTTTTAAGATAGGCATTTGTTTTGAAAGATTTTTCACATTCTGTGCATTGGTATTTCTTTTCTCCCTCATGGATTCTTTGGGGATTGCTGAGTGTTTCGTCTGTTCTCTCACTGAAGCTATTTCCACACCCCGGGTGGTTTTCCTGTTTCTCTCCTAAGTGGATACCTTGATGTGTAGTAAGATGTCCTGTGTGATTGAAGCTCTTTCCAAATTCCAGGCATTGATATGGTTTTTCTCCTGTGTGAATCCTTTGATGGCTATACAGGGATGTTTTACTACTGAAGCTGCTTTCACATTCCATGCATGTATAGGGTTTCTCTCCAGTGTGAATTCTTTGATGGTCATGAAGACGTCCACGCATAGTAAAACTCTTTCCACACTTGAGGCATTTATAGGGTTTTTCTCCTGTGTGAATACTTTGATGCTTATAAAGGTTTCCACCATCAGTAAATCTCTTTCCACACTGCAGGCATATATAAGGTTTTTCTCCCGTGTGGATCCTTTGATGCACATAAAGAGTATTCCTATGACTGAAGCTCTTTCCACACTGCAGGCATTTATGAGGTTTTTCTCCTGAGTGTATTCTTTGATGTCTATAATGGCTGCTCCTCTGACGGAAGCTCTTTCCACACTCAAAGCATTTATAAGGTTGTTCTCCTGTGTGGATTCTTTGATGTTGATTAAGATCTGCTCTCTGGTTGAAGTTCTTTCCACACTCAAAGCATTGGTGTGGATTTCCAACTGAGTGGTTTTTTAGATGGTTTTCAAAATGTCTATTTGTTTTGAAGGATTTTTCACATTCTGGGCATTCGTATGATTTTTCTCCTGAGTGGCTCCTTAGATGGTTTTCCAGATCTCCATTTCTTTTGAAGGATTTTTCACATTCCAGGCACTGATATTTCTTTTCTTCCTCCTGGATCTTTTGGGGATTCCTGTGTCTTCCGAAGGACCCTCCACCTTCCAGGCTTTTATTCGGTTTCTCTCTCCAGTGGGTCCTTTGATGTTTATAAAGGCTGCTCCTCTGAGTGAAGCTCTTTCCACACTCCAGGCACTTATGAGGTTTTTCTCCTGTGTGGATTCTTAGATGTCTACTAAAGCTGCTCCTGTAATAGAAGCTGATTCCACACTCCTGGCATTTAAATGGTTTCTCTCCTGAGTGGATCGTTAAATGGTTTTTCAGATTTCTATTATTTTTGAAGGATTTTTCACATTCTGGGCATCCATATTTCTTTTCTCCCGAGTGGATTTTTAAATGGTTTTCAAGATTTCCGTTCCTTTTGAAGGTTTTTCCACATTCCGGGCACTGATGTTCCTTTCCTCCCTCCTGGATCCTTCGGGGCTTTCGGGGTCTTCGGGAGGAGCCTCCGCCCTCCAGGCCCATCTCGGGGTCTCCGCCCGTTTCCTCTTCCCCGCATCGCCCTCCAGGCAGCCGCCTTTCCCGGGCTCCCCCTGGGCTCCTCCCTCCTGCAGCCCCGGAGCCCCCCGGCCTTTCCCCTCCATCTGCCAGGGAAGCCACGCCGGGACCGGGCAGGGCTGCTCTGCAGGGCCTGCTCTCCTCCTCTCGGGCGGCGCCTCTTTCCTCCATCCGCCGCCATCCTTCGTCCTCCTGCAGGGGAGAAAGAGAAGACGGTCAAGGCTGCCTCCCCTTCCCCCCAGGGGAGGCCCAGGCACAAGCCCCCCCCCCGCCTCCCACGGGCCTCCCCCCAGGACTCTCTTGTCCGCAGAGCCCGTCAAAGTGCTACTCCCAGCAATCCCCGCGCTATACCTGCATCCGGGAGCCACTGTCGCCTAATTAGACACCTACTTCCGTCGCTCGTCTGATTGCGCATCTGTGGGCGGGGCCTTTTCTTCCCCTGTAGCTCCCGTATATTTGTCCGATTGCGGAACGTGGGAAGAAAAGTTTCTCCGCAAGGACCGGTGAATATTTGCATGCGGCCGCCTTCTACGCCATCCCATTGGCGGGCCCGCTTTGTGACCCCGCCCCTCGCTTCTTACTGGAGTTGCGCACACGACGCTCGGTGTTTGGGCTCCTCCCCCGCTTTGGCTCCGCCCCTCCGCTGCTGGCTCTTCCCATCCGCGCTCCATTCGCCCTCCGCGGCTCTTCCAAGGCTGGCCTGTCCGCCCTTCCTCCCTTCGTTCGCCCCCCACCCCCCCGGCAACCTGGTCCGTGTTTCAGGCGCGGCTGCGGTCGAGGGGCTGCTCTGAGAGGCGGGTGCAGCCTTCCCTCCGCCGGCCTACCTCGCAGGGTTGTGCGGTGGGGAGACAAAGTGGGGGAAGTCCTGAGGGGCGGATTGGGGGGTGGTCTGCCTTGGCTTTTCTCTGCCCCCCTCCTCTTTCTCCCCCCCATCCCCCTTGCCCACCTCCTGCCCTTCTTCTGGTGCTCCTCCTGCCCCTCCTCTTTTCCCCCCCACCCTCTGCCCCTCCACTTGCTTCCCCCCCCATCCCTCCTGTTCTCCCCCCCCCCCCCGTACCCTCTCCTTCCTCTGGTGCCCCCCACCCCTGCCCCTCTTCTCCCACCCAGCCCTTTTCCTCTTCTCCCCTCACCCCCTGCCCCTCCTCTTTTCCCCCCCACCCCCCCTTTTTCTCCTCCCCCACCCCCTCCTTTTCCTCTTCTCCCCTCAGCCCCTGCCCCTCCTCTTTTCCCCCCCACCCCCTCTTCTTCCCCCCACCCCCTCCCTTTCCTCTTCTCCCCTCAGCCCCTGCCCCTCCTCTTTTCCCCCCCACCCCCTCTTCTTCCCCCCACCCCCTCCCTTTCCTCTTCTCCCCCCTCTTCTATTCCCCCCACCCCCTGCCCCTCCACTTGCTTCCCCCCTGCTCTTCCTCTTCCCCCACCCCCTGCCCCTCCTTTCCACCCTCAGCCCCTCCCCCTCTTCTTTCCCCCGCCTCCTGCCCTTCCTTTTCTTCCCCCCACCCCCTTTTCTCCTCCCACCCCCCTTCCTTTTCCTCTTCTTCCCCCACCCCCACCCACTTCTTTTCCCACTTCCTGCCCCTCCTCTTCTTTCCACCCCCACTCCCTGCCCCTCTTCTTTTCCCCATCTCCTGCCCTTCCTTTTCTTCCCCCACCCTTTTTCTCTTCTCCCCACCCCCTGTCCCTCCACTTGCTTCCCCCCTGCTCTTCCTCTTCCCCCACCCCCTGCCCCTCCTTTCCACCCTCAGCCCCTCCCCCTCTTCTTTCCCCCACCTCCTGCCCTTCCTTTTCTTCCCCCACCCCCCCTTTTTCTCCTCCCCCACCCCCTCCTTTTTCTCCTCCCCACCCCCTCCTTTTCCACTTCTTCCCCCACCCACTTCTTTTCCCACTTCCTGCCCCTCTTCTTTCCACCCCCACCCTCTGCCCCTCCACTTGCTTCCCCCCCCATCCCTCCTGTTCTCCCCCCCCCCGTACCCTTTCCTTCCTCTGGTGCCCCCCACCCCTGCCCCTCTTCTCCCACCCAGCCCTTTTCCTCTTCTCCCCTCACCCCCTGTCCCTCCTTTCCCCCACCTCTTGCCCTTCCTTTTCTTCCCCCCTCCTCTTCCTCTTCTCCCCCCACCCCCTGCCCCTCCTCTTTTCCCCCCTGCCCCTCCACTTGCTTTCCCCCCATCCCTCTTGTTCTTTCCCCCCTTACCCTTTCCTTCCTCTGGTGCCCCCCACCCCTGCCCCTCTTCTCCCACCCAGCCCCTTTCCTCTTCTCCCCTCACCCCCTGCCCCTCCTCTTTCCCCCCACCCCCCTTTTTTCTCCTCCCCCACCCCTCCTTTTCCTCTTCTCCCCTCACCCCCACCCCCTCCTCTTTTCCCCTCCACTTGCTTCCCCCTGCTCTTCCTCTTCTTCCCCCCTCCTTTTCCTCTTCTCCCCCCCCCCCCTGCCCCTCCTCTTTCCACCCCCACCTTCACCCCTGCCCCTCCACTTGCTTCCCCCCTGCTCTTCCTCTTCTTTCCCCCCACCCCCTCCTTTTTCTTCTCCACCTTTTGTACAAAAAGGTGAGAAAATGGGCAGCTTTGGTGATGGGTTTGCTGGCCTCCTACAGACATTTGCCTGGCATGTAGAAAAGGTGGAGCAGGTGAGGTTTGATAGGCACCTGTCATCTCCGTTGGAATTCTGCTGGCTTTAGGACCTCATTCATGCAGGCTAAACTGCCAGTTATTAGGATGAAGACGCCATCCAAGTGGTAGGTTGGATTTCAGAAGGGCTCCTGGACTTTGGGGAAGCTTCCCTCCATTTGTAGGAAATTTATCAACCTTTTATTCCAAGGGGGAAAACGCCAATTCTTCCACTCCATTTCCCTTCTTAGGAAAGGGAAGCTGGCTGAAGATGTGCTCCAGAGAATGTTATTTTTAATTAGCAGTTGATAGTTTTTAATCATGTGGTATCTTTGCTTCTAAACCCAGGCACTACCAGTTTGCTGTGGAGCTGAAAAGAGCTGAATTACCTCCACTGTGAGAGACTTTTACCTTTGTAAACAGGTTTCTTTGCCCACCTGAAAATACAAATACAAACCGCCAAATAATTCAAGCAAAGCAAAAATCGTTCATTAAGGAGGTGGGCTCATGTTTTTTTCCTACAGGGTAAAGAAATATGATGCATGTAATATTCAGTACATGCGACACATCGGTAAGCGAACGATCAAACTAATTCCCTCAATGGACAAATGGCTGCAAAAGTTGATGGGAGTTAGCAAAGATGGTTAAACTTAACTGATTTTTAAAAAAAGAACGTAATTTTACTTCTACTGGGAAACCATTTTTGGAGATTGTGCTTAAGGTAGAAAAAGAAAATAAAGCTTTTGGTTTTTGCTATTAGATTTGATGTTATAGAAGGTATCTTATCTAAAAGTAAAAAGTTGGAAGTTTTATGTTATTTTATTCATTCTACTGCATCAAAAGTCGGTCAGGAAGATCGAGGAAAGAATATGCAGCAAAAAAAGCCATCGATTTGTAGTACAAAACGCAGCCTTTGCCCAGCCCAGCAATGCGTTGCAGTGCCATGCCCCAAGAATGCCCAGCCCTCCTGGGCATAATTGCCTGCACCAACCTCCACTCCGATACCCTTCCTGGCGTCCACTTTACAGTCCAAATCTTACCTTCATCGTCATCTTCCTCCTGCTGCTACTCGCGGATCCAGGCACTAGGCGAGATTGCAGCCCTAAGACTTTAGTTCTTCACCACTGAAGTTGTTTAAGGCCTGTGTGACTTACAGCCACATTATTCTGCTCACCAATCAGAACAAATCGTGAGACGAGGTTTTTTTTTTTTTTGTGGAATCGAAGACACTGCTGCTCGTAATATTACACACCTCTTGAAAAATACGTGTAAGATTATTCAAGTTCAACTATTGGGCATCACAGAACAGCACAATCATTAAACAGAGCATAGCAATGAAGGTAGACTTACAACAATTCGCTTAGCGCCCATTCGAAGTTGCAATGACACTAAAAAAAAGTGACATGGCTGTTTTCCACACTTATGACCGTTGCAGCATCCCCATGGTTACGTGATCAAAATTCAAGACCCTGGGAACTCATATTTATGACCGTTGATCCCCTCTTGCGACCTCGTCACAAGCAAAGCCGAGTGGAAAACCAGATTCACCGTCTTACTAATTTAACCCCTACAGTGATTCACTTCACAAATGTGGCAAGAAGAGCCGTAAAATGGGAGAAAAGTCCCTTAACAAATTTCTCACTGAACAACATAAATTTTGGGCTCAATTGTGGTCGTCGAGTCGAGGACAACCTGTAAAGGGAATACTAAAGTGGTGTTGTGTGGAAGTTTGCTTACTTTTGAGCAGGGGTGAAATGCTCCCGGTTCGGACCGGATCGCGCGATAGCAAAAATCCCTGCCTCCCCACCCACCCACCCACGCCCCATTGCCCGTCTGAGCCGCGCAATCATCAGAGGCTTTTTTTTTATTTTTGAAAGCATTTTTTCTACAACCTCTTTGGCTGAAAAAATGCTTTTAAAAGTAAAAAAAAAAAAGCCTCTGACGATCGCGTGGCTCAGCTGGGATCATCAGAGGCTTTTAAAAGCATTTTTTTCTACAACCTCTTCGGCCAAAAAAATGCTTTTAAAAGGAAAAGAAAGCCTCTGCCGATCAGGCCAGTCAGCTGGGATTGTCAGAGGCTTTTTTAAAAAAAGCTTCTGCCGATCAGGCAAGGAGCCTGAGTGGCGTAGGCGGCTAATGCCTCCTACTAAGGCAGCATTTAACATCCAGCTGCCTGCAATTACTGCGAGTTCAATTCTCACCAGGCTCAAGGTCGACTCAGCCTTCCATCCTTTCTAAGGTGGCTAAAATGAGGACCCGGTTTGTGGGGGCAATAAGCTGACTTTGTATAAAATATAGAAAAGTATGAAGGCTATTGCTTAACGCATTGTAAGCCGCCCTGAGTCTCCGGAGAAGGGCGGCATATAAAAATATAAAAAAAAAAAATTAAAAAAAAAAGGTCAGCTGGGATTGTCAGAGGCTAAAAAAAAAAAGCTTCTACCAATCAGGCAAGTCAGCTGGGATCGTCAGAGGCTTTAAAAGCATTTTTTACAACCTCACCAGCCGAAGAGGTTGTAGAAAAAATGGTTTTAAAAGTTAAAAAAAAAAAAAAGTTGGCCACGCGCACCCAGTCACAATTACCCCACACACACCAAGTCACAGCCACAGAACCAGTAGTACCAAATTTTACATTTCACCACTGGTTTCTTTCTCCCCTCCGCTCCCCCCCCCCCGCCGTGGCTAGCATCAGTGAGGAGGTCTCATAACACACCACTGGTGGGCATAAAATTTAACAGGGACCTCCAGCAACGGGGGTTCTCCTTGGCAGAGTTTTGGAGCTACATGTAGGAGTATGGTCTGGGAAGAACCATGGAAGGTGCCAAAGTGAGACGTGTCCCTGTGGCCCTAGAAGGGGCCACTTCACAGTGGAGAATCACTCTCCACAAGGAGGATACCCTGGAGCTGAGAAAATTCAACACCTTCACAGTGTCCTTCACAAGCGGTTCAAGGACCCCCCCCCGGCCAACCATAAAACTGAAGGTCGCATCAACACCATCAGCCAGGGATGGAGAGGAGTGGCCGAGTGCATCCGGGAGTTTCGTGACCTGGCTTGCAGGTTTACTGCCTGGCCACAAGACATCCTGGTTGGCTGCTCCCAAGATGGGCTGAATGATGTCAGGGTGAAGAACTTCAGTAAACTATTGTAAATTGACCCTTCGCAACAGGAAAAATAAGTTTTTAGACATTTTTATTATTTAACAAACAAACAAACATCATGGGCATGAGAGACTGACATTATAGTGATTTGCAAAACATGTCATATGTTTGAGCTTATGCCCACAGGATACTCAGACTGTATATTTATCAAATGAAAATCCTAAGAAAAAGTAAAGGGTCTAGAAGGAACTCTATTTTGAAACTCAATGAACGAAGAGAGAAATCCCAACCTGAAAAAGAAGACTACACGTTACGCACAGTCACTCATGCCCTCGTCACCTCTCGTCTGGACTATTGTAACGCTCTCTACATGGGGCTCCCCTTGAGGTGCACCCGGAGGCTCCAACTGGCGCAGAGTGCGGCCGCGCGGGTGGTTATGGGAGCAACGTGGAGCTCCCATGTAACACCTCTCCTGCGCGAGCTGCATTGCCTCCCGGTGGTGTTCCGGGTGCGCTTCAAGGTTCTGGTTACCACCTTTAAAGCGCTCCATGGCTTAGGACCTGGTTACTTACGGGACCGCCTACTACCATCAATAGCCTCCCATCGACCAGTACACTCCCACAGAGAGGGGCTCCTCCAGGTGCCGTCAACCAAACAATGTCGGCTGTCGGCCCCTAGGGGGAGAGCCTTCTCTGTGGGGGCACCGACGATCTGGAATGAGCTCCCCCCAGAGATACGGAGGATTCCGGACCTGCGCACCTTCCGCCGCGAGCTGAAGACGCTTTTATTTCATCAAGCTGGCCTCGCCTAAATCTTCTCCCTTTTAAGTGTAAATTTTAAATTTTTACTGTATTTTAAAATATGGGTATTTAAAATTATGGGTATTAATTCAGCCAAATTTATTTAATTCATTTTATTCGATTTTAAATTTTGTATATCTATGTGTTTTATTTCATGGCTGTGCACCGCCCTGAGTCCTTCGGGAGTAGGGCGGTATAGAAATTCAATAAAAACTAAACTAAAACTAAAACTAAACTACACCAAAATTAAACACAATAGAGAGCAAACTACTTTTTTTAAAAAAAAAAATTATACTGTTTTCATGTGGATTTATTGATGTGAATAAAGGTTCTCCTTTGACCTGAAGCTTTTCCCACAGTCCAGGCATTTATATGGTTTTTCTCCTGTGTGAATCATTTGATGTTTATAGAGCTACTCTCATATTGAACCACATTACATATTCCAGGCATTTATAAAATTTTTCTCTAGTGTGGATTCTTTGATGTTGACAAAGGTTTACATCCTTAGTTAAGCTCTTGCCCCACTCAAGGCATTTACCATGTTTCAGTTGATTACCTGTGTAACCAGCAGGTGGGAGTAGAGGTGGGGGGGTAAAGCAGGCTGCTCAGCATGGGCAAGCTGAGAGTCAGTGGGCTAGAGCTGTGGCCGGCCATGGGAGGCTCATCTTCCCTCAGTGACCCTGGCAGACGGAGGCAGAGGGGCAGGGGAAGGCAGGTGATCTCGATGCGCTGTGCGAGCTGCAGCCAAGCTGAGAGATGTAAAGTTGAGTCTCCTGCAGTAGGCTTTTTAAAGATCTCTGCAGCGCATCTGGATTGCTTGCCTAACCCCCTGCGCCTCTGCCTCCGTCTGCTGCCAGTGTCGTTGCGTGAAGATGAGCCTGCCACAGCCACCCGCTGATTCTGGCAGACTTGGCTTTCCTAGAAAAGCCTACCCCTCTGCCTCTGCTTCCACCTGCTGCTTGCACAGGTAATCAACTCACCTGTGCTGTGTGGGCTGCAGCTGCTGCCAGACAACATCGGATGACAAGGGTTTGCTGTCTCCTGTGCTGGCCATGCCCACCTCCCTTCACTGGGCCTTATTTTTGGGGGCAGGGCTTATATTAGGCGCATGCTTAAAAATCAGGCTAGGGTTATTTTGTGGGAAACGTGGTATTTGATGTTTCTCCAGTGTGGATTCTTTGATGCGTATAGAGACTTCTGTTTGCAGAGAAACACTTTCCACACTTTAGACATTTATATGGTTTTCCAGTATGGATTCTTTGATGTATGTAAAGGTTTCCTCTCCGATTAAAGCTCTTTCCACATTCCAGGCATTTATGTGGTTTTTCTCCTGTGTGAATCATTTGATGTGTATACAGAGTTCCTCTCATATTGAAACACTTTCCACATTCGAGGCATTTGTGTGGTTTTTCTCCAGTATGAATCATTTGATGTCTATACAGAGTTCCTCTAATATTGAAACATTTTCCACATTCCACGCATTTATATGGTTTTTCTCCAGTGTGGATCCATTGATGTTTGCGGAGATTCCCACTGTCAGTAAAGCTCATTCCACACTCCAAGCATTCATATGGTTTTTCTCCTGTGTGGATTCTTTGATGTGCATAAAGACGTCCCTTCCGAGTGAAGCTCTTTCCACAATCTAGGCACTTATGCAGTTTCTCTCCTGAGTGGATTATTTGATGTCTGTTAAGGGTGCTCTTGTGAGTGAAGCACTTTCCACACTCCAGACATTGAAATGCTTTCTCTGCTGTGTGGATTCTTAGATGGTTTAGAAGACCTCTATTCGTTTTGAAAGATTCTTCACATTCTGTGCACTGATATTTCCTTTCTCCTTCATGGATTCTTTGGGGATTCCCGAGTCTTTTGTCTGTTCTCCTGTCAGTGAAGCTCTTTCCGCACCCCAGCCGGGTTTTTTGTTTTTCTCCTAGGTGGACTCTTTGATGTGTAATAAGGTGTCCTGTGTGATTAAAGCGCTTTCCACACTCCGGGCATTTATATGGTTTTTCTCCTGTGTGAATCCTTTGATGTTTACGGAAGTTCCCACCATCCATAAATCTCTTTCCACAGTCCAGGCATTTATACGGTTTCTCTCCTGAGTGGATCCTTTGATGTAAATAAAGGTTAGTCTTCTGACGGAAACTCTTTCCACACTCCAGGCATTTATACGGTTTCTCGCCTGAGTGGATTCTTCTATGTCTATAAAGGCTGCTTCTCTGACAGAATCTCATTCCACAGTCCAGGCATTTATACGGTTTCTCTCCTGAGTGGATCCTTTGATGTAGATGAAGATTGCTCCAATGACCGAAGCTCTTTCCACACTCCACGCATTTATACGGTTTTTCTGCTGAGTGGGTTCTTTTATGTCTGTAAAGGCTGCTCCTATCATTGAAGCTCTTTCCACACTCCAGGCATTTATTCGGTTTGTCTCCTGACTGGATTGTTTGATGTCTACAAGGGCTGCTCCCGTCATTGAAGCTCTTTCCACACTCCAAGCAATTGTTCGGTTTCTCTCCCAAGTGGATTCTTTGATGTCTACTAAAGCTGCTCCTGTGATTGAAGCTCATTCCACACTCCAGGCATTTATGAGGTTTCTCTCCTGAGTGGATTGTTAGATGGCTTTGAAGATGGTCTTTTCTTCTGAAGAATTTTTCACATTCTGGGCATTGATATTCCTTTTCTCCTGAGTGGATGCTTAGATGGAGTTGGAGATGTCCATTTCTCTTGAAGGTTTTTTCACATTCTGGGCACTGATATTTCTTTCCTCCCTCCTGGATCCTTTGGGGACTCCCGGGTCTTCCGAAGGACTCCCCGGCCTCCAGGCATTTATTTGGTTTCTCTTCTGAGTGGATTCTTAAATGTTTTTCAAGGATTTGAATTGTTTTGAAGGATTTTTCACATTCCCAGCATTCGTAAGTTTTTTGTAAATGGATTCTCTTGTGTCTATAGAAGCTGCTCATATGATTGAAGCTCTTTCCACACTCAGAGCATCTATGAGGTTTCTCTCCTGTGTGGATTCTTACATGGTTTTCAAGATCATTATTTGATTTGAAGGATTTTTCACATTCCCGGCACTGATATTCCTTTTCTCCTGAGTGGATGCTTAGATGTCTATAAAGGCTTTCCCTCACACTGAAGCTCTTTCCACATTCCAAGCATTTATGTGGTTTCTCTCCAGTGTGGATCCTTTGATGTGTATTAAGGCTTTCCCTCAGATTGAATCTCTTTCCGCACTCCAGGCATTCATATGGTTTTTCTCCGGAATGGATCCTTTGATGTCTAGAAAGGTTTCCCAACTGAGTGAAGCTCTTTCCACATTCTAGGCATGTATGAGGTTTTTCTCCTGAGTGGATCCTTAGATGTTTTTCAAGATGGTCGTTTCTTTTGAAGGATTTTTTGCATTCCGGGCACTGACGTTCCTTTCCTCCCTCCTGGATCTTTCGAGGCTTTGGGGGTCTTCTGAAGGAGCCTCCGCCCTCCAGGACAGTCTCGAGTTCTCCGTCCGTTTCCTTCTCCCCGCATTGCCCTCCAGGCAGCCGCCTTTCCCGGGCTCCCCCTGGGCTCCTCCCTCCTGCAGCCCCAGAGCCCCCAGGCATTTCCCCGCCGTCTCCCGGGGAAGCCGCGCCAGGACCGGTCAGGACAGCTCCGCGGGGCCCGCTCTCCTCCTCCTCCTCCTCTCGGGCGGCGCCTCTTTCCTGCATCCGCCGCCATCCTCCGTCCTCCTGCAGGGGAGAAAGGGAAGAGGGTCACGGCTGCATCCCCTTCCCCGCAGGGGAGGCCCAGGCCCAAGCCCCCGCCTCCCACAGGCCTCCTCGAGGCTGAAACGGCCTCCTTCCCAGCATCCCCAAGCGAGACGAGGCCTCGGCCTTCCCATCTTGCTCGCCTCCCTCCCTCCCCTTTCCGGAGATGCCCTCCTGGACTGCAACTCCCAGCATCCCTTGCGCCGAACCTGCATCATCCTGTCTCTTCTATCGGCGACTCAGGCAGCTCCACGGGTCTCGGTTTAGTTTTCCGGAAGTGGAGGCGACGCTCTTTCGCGTAGGAAGGCCGAAGCTCCGCCTGTTCCTGTGGAGAGACCGCCCTAAGCGGTCCTCCTGCCAATCACCGCCGTTTCCAGAACGGCCAATCGGCGTCTTCCTTCCTTTATGTGAGCAAGATGGCGCCTGCGCGTTCCCGAGAGTTGTGAGAGTTCCGGGCGGTGGTGGGCCGAGGGGGTCCCGTTGAATTTTGGGGTCTCCCCGCATCCAGCAGGGGGCCGTTTTGGGGCTGAGGCTTTCTTCCCATAGGCAAGGAGGGGTGGGGGGGGGGCGGAAACACCATTCCTTCGGAGGGACCGCCCCAAGGAGTCCTGCAGCCAATCGGCGCCGTCCCCAGAGCGACCAATCGGCGTCCTCCATTTTCAGTCACGCAGAGTGCGCCTGCGCGGTGCCGTTTCCCTTTCTGTTCTCGGGCGGAAGTGACACTTGGGGGGATTTTTCCTTTGATCTTTGGGGTCCCTCTTCTCCCCCTCCCCCCTGAATCCAGGCAGGCGGAGGTTGGGGGGCCCTTCTGCGGCTCTGACTCCCTCCCTTCCCCCAACCGGAGTCCCTCCCTAGACAAGGCGGGGGGGTGGAAATATGGGGGGGGCACCCAGGCAGGCTGGGCTGAGGGGTCTCCCCTTCCTCCTGGGGGGCTCCAGCCAGGCTCCTCCGTGGCCTCCAGGCAGAGAGACCGAGGGGGCTCCTCCCTGCAGCTCCTGACCCCCCTTTTCCCGCTTCCTCCCCACCCAAAGACCCCCTTGCAAATCTGCAGGGGGGAAATCCCCTCCAGGACCCCCCCATTAATATGTGGACCCCCTCGGCCTCTGCTGAGCTCCTGAGGTCGAAGCCTCCAGGAAGGAGAACCTTTCCCCCCCCCATTGCAGCCCCATCCAGCTCTGTCCCTCTCCCCTTAAATGCGCCGTAGCTGGAGCACCCCCACTGCCTTGGGTTGGGGGGGGGGGCTTTTCCTATTTAAATCCTGCGCCCCAAAGGCTGGAGGGGTTCCTGGTCCTGCTGCTCTCTTGCACTGCAGCTTCTCCTTTGCTGGGATTGAGCAACTCCATAAGTTTTTAAACTTTTATGCCCCCCCCTCTCGCCAAAAGCAACTTTTTAAGATTTGACATCATTTTAATGTTCTTGTATTTGCAGTAAATACCTGGGGTAAGGTGATGCTGGAGCCCAGTGAGGTCCTCAAGGTGCTTTTAGGCGTATGTAGGAAGTTCCCTTGTCAGCTAACAGAATAAGAACAGCTGAGCTGGAAGGGCCCTTGGAGGTCTTCTAGTCTGACCCTCTGCTCGTGCAGGAGGCCTCATCCCCAAGGTGCTTTTTCAAGAGGCAACTGGGCTTCATTTGCTTTTCTTTGAATATGTTTCACTTCTCATCCAAGAAGCTTCTTCAGTTCTATAGTACTGAAGAAGCTTCTTGGATGAGAAGCGAAATGCCTTCAAGCTCCCCCCCCCCACTCTCCCAGGCTTTTCCCCAGTTCCCTCTGTAACCCATTGGGTTCATCAGTCATCGGAGGAGGATCATTCAAATGGGCCTGAAGAAGGGGGAGAGTGGCATAAGAGAATCTCACAGGCACCAAGTCATGATCTGACCTTGACGGGGGATAATAATGGATTCCCCGCCAGATCACATTGCCATTGATCTGGTAAGATTAAACCAGTGTCTGACGACCATTGTTCTGAATCATTGCTGAGTCAATCTGGGATGGGCCCATGACTGTCGTGATTTCTTAGATTGTTTCTGAGGCCAGGGGTGGCAAACGGAAGTACCCCAGCACTATGAGCCTGGAGAGCAGGGCAGATGGTACAGTAGTATCCACGCTTAAGAAAGAAGGATCTCCCAACCAGAATCCTGGGGACCGAAGCCCCTGAACGCCAAAAGAGATTCTTGGGTGACCACTGCCACTTGCTTCCCATGCCCAGGGGCTCAGCTGGCGCAAAATCCTAAACCTGGATGGACACATCTCTTGACAGACCTCAGAGATGCATGGGCGGTCAGCTGACTTCTCATCAATAAAGTCTTGGATAATTTGGGATCTTTATTATTGACTGACCTGGGATTCACCAGGAGCAACAGCCAAGCCCTAGGGCCTCAGTGGAAGAGCTCTCCAGTGCCTGGGAGTGAATTCAGGAAGCTGGAATACACCACCCATGTTCCAAGGCTCTCACCTGTCACTCGATGGACAGCAGTAGCAATAGAATAACATTCCCTCTCGCATTGAAAACTTTTTTTGTGCCTAGGCATACAGTACAGTTTATGAAAGTGACTTCAGGCAAAGAAAGCTATACTTGGCCAAAAAGCCGCAGGTGGGGACTATGAAGCTGTTCGCCCCGCACCAGCTAGCCCATGTTTTCCAGCCCCCATGGTCCTTGCACCTGCCGAGGAACCACAGCGAGGTGAAAAGAGTGCTTTTGAAGGACCCAACAGCCATCTTTACTGTGGGGGCTGCCAAAGCCTTCTGGGTTTGAGACAGAAGTAGATCAGAGTTGCCAAAGCCGCCTTTGGGGGCTGCCAAAGCCTTCTGAGATGGAAATAGATCAGAGCTGCAGGTCCGCCACAGACAGGAAGGGGGCAGCAAAGGACAGGACTTGTTATGCCATCTGTTGACCCTCAGGAGCCCAGCAGCCCAGAGATGCTCAGCCGAAGCCTTTTCTTGGAGTGCCACTCCTAGCCTGCCTTCCTGCCAAGCAGGTGAGACACTAGTTCTCCCCAAATTAGAGCCGCACAACCACCTTCCCAGGTAGTCTGGCCAAGATGCTCTAGAACTTGAGATATGTTGGCCAGCCCCATAAATTTTGATTTGATTCACACAACAGTACTGACTCCATAGGATCTAACACCCACATTCAGATGTCCTAAGAATAGAATAGAAAAAATAGAATTCTTTATTAGCCAAGTGTGATTGGACACACAAGGAATTTGTCTTTGGTGCATATTCTCTGAAGTGTAAATAATGTCAGGGTTCCGACTGATGCCATTAGGAAACAAAACATAAATCGTAAAGGTGTAAGTGTGATGGTGTTGAGAAGAGCTGGATTTCTGGGGATTTGTCTGTCATCTAAAGTTCAACCTTCCAGGTTGCGTCCAAGCTGGCCTATCAGTTGCCCCCTCTCTGGGGCAATCCTGGTTGCAGCTGAAACCCTTCCTGAAGGAGAACATGGAACCAGAAATTGCCCTCTCATAAAAAGAGATTGTGGCCACAAACCAGAGGCCAAGAATTGTTCCACCTGCTCCAGTCAAACACCATGAGAAATACTGGGCCCAGTTTGAGCCCCTCAAATACTATTTCACAAGTTTCAGAGAAGGACGAGGTGAATGATCCAATCCACCTGTTGTAGCAAAAAGGGTACCTTTTTATATAAGTAAATTCCAATAATCTCAATTTACCGTCGAACTAGTTAAAACTGACCGAACTAAATGGCCTCCACAAGGTGTTCTTGCACAATGTGCTGGGTGTAGAGTTTGATTTATGACTAACCTTCTAAATAAAACAAAATGGTATGGACAAAACTTCTGCATGTAGCCTGTGTTGATTTTAAATCTACATTTGAGTTCATTTTCAATGAAATCATTATGACGAACTTGGAAAATGCAGTACAGATGGTTTTTCTCATTCAGCAATTGTATGAAATGTGTTAACCCTCCTCTTCAGAAAAGTCTCGCAGGGCTGTATTTGGACCTCCACCTCCACTCCTTAACAGGTCAACCGACCATCTCCTACTTACACCTGCCTCAATCCCTGGGCCCAGATGTACTTCTCCTATGTGCTGAGAATATGGCTAGTATCTCACAAAACTTTGTTGGCCTTAAGAGAGTTTAAGGACTTGCATCTCCTTTCCGTTCAAGGAAGTACAACTCTCGAGACGGTTGGCATTTCAAAAGGAAACCCTTGAGAGAGTGATAGCAAGACAAAGAAAGCAGGATCTGAGGATTCCCACGCAATTCCCTCAGATTAAAACAGGTATCTCACCCTCAGTCCGGTGTAGGATAAGCCAATCCGCAGGCGCCAAGGTGTTTTGAGAACTGCGGGCTGAGAAAGCAATAAGTTGTTCTCAGGAGTCCCTTGCTGGAGGCTCATGTCTAACAGATGGCCCTCAATTCAATCCCTCCCCGCTTTCATTCCCAAGAAGGAAAATAAAAGTACAGGATAGGCAGGAAAGGGGTTATAAAGCGAGGAATGTACCCAGACCACGCCCCTCCCGCACTAAAATGGCAGCATCCCAATAGTCATCTATGAGAGTCCCTTGTAGCGGTTTCTGCTGGAAGACAAGGGGACCATTGAGAGAATCCAATTGACAGGAGTTTCAGATGTCTAGGGAGGGTCTTACATGGTATTGATATTTGGACAACCCATATAGATTATATCAAACACCCTAGTGTTAGGTTCTGCCATTTGGAGATGCATTGGGGAGGTGGATAAATGGACAATATGATTGAAAGTGATGGGAAATAAGGAGGGGGGAAATGAAAGACGATGAAGAGCAGAGAAACCCGGAATCGGTTTGTACTCTTTGCTTCATTCTGATGGGTCTTTCTTAAGAGACCAGGTTGGGGCAGGTCTGACACCTGGATTCTACAACAGCACACTTGTTTCAATTAGGCACAGAGTTGGCAGATCATTTAAAGGCACCTTTAGAGTAATATAGCAAAGAGGTTTCCCTTAATGAACAAAGAGCCCAGGACAGACTCAGGTTTCA